TAATGATGCTGGCCATTTAATATGCATTTCCAAAAATGTATATACATATTATCTTTGCACTTCTGCATCCTTAGGAGAACAAAATCATTCAAACATTTAATTTTCTCCACCCAATGTGTAGAGGGTGCACAGCAAAAAGACTCAATTTGCTCACAGAGCTCTGTGAGCTCTGAGAGCTCCCTACCAAGTTTTCTGATGTAGTCATCACACCCCTCCACAATTAGTACATAGCCTTTGGGAATGCCAAGTCACCAAAAGCCCAATTAGACATTCCTTCCCTGATATATGTAACAATAACCTGCTACTGGCATGTTTGTACCATGAATGCCAAGTAACCATTAGCAACAATATGGAAACCTCTTGTGTTGAACAAGTCACGACTGTGCACACAGTATGCTCCACTGAGGAGTGCCAAGTACCCATGGCTAGCCTATCAACCCTGGTGTCTCTGACTACATGTCATTGAACCCTTAATAGCTCACTCCATCATGGACCACGATCAATGGGGATTCAATCGTCCGTTCTCATACCCAATTGGGACCACCCATTGATTACACAATCCGCTAATGTACAAACAAGATCTTACGACTATCTTTCAACTATAAGAACAGGTCAAGAGGGGAGAATTTCTCCCCATCCTTGTAACAGTTGTCCTGTTGGTCCTTAATTTCAGACATAGCAAGGGTGAAGTCTCTAGGGAGCATCCAAGTTGGTTCAAGCCAATATCTAGGGAGAGAAATATCAAGTAGATATATATTTCTAAGGGAGAGCTGGTTAACACTCCTGTCAGAGACCGGATTGAGATGAAGGATTGTCTCCATGGTGGAGGGCTTCGGCCTCAGCGACTCAAGCCAGGAGCACTGTGCCAAGTTACATGTCCATGCCCTAATTTACTTACTGGCAATGAGAACTAAGGGGGATCAACTCTAGTCGATTTTATTGCTGAGGTGTAACCTATGTACAAGTTGAGTATATATATGGTTACAGCGGGGGCCAGGCCTGTAAATGGTGGGGCCGAGCAGAGCGGAGCTAACGGAGTTAAACATTAGCCGATTGAATATTACTGATGAGTTGGGTCATGGGGTTAGCAGAGTGGCGGGCTATAACCCAGAAATGGAAAGGAGGGATAGTGTCATATCCATCCCCGGCCATCGACTTCCGGTCTCTCCAATCCCTCCATTCTAACTCCGCTCCCCCCTCACCAACCTCGGAGCCCCCGTATTCCGCAAACCTCTTGGTACCCCTCGATGGTCACCACCCCCTCATTTCAATTTATTACCTACGCCTCCCTAAGTACGGAGCCCCGAAGACTTCCGGACAGCTCCGACGTCCGCTAGCACACTCCCGCCTCCGCTGGGCAATACACTCGCCTGCCCTGCAGAGCCCACCTTCGGGCCTATCCCTCCTTTCCGTTTCTGGGTTAACGCCTGCCTTTCCGCTAACCCCGCGAACCGACTCATCGGTAATATTCAGTCGGCTAATGTCTTAACCCCGTTAGCTCCGCTCCGTTCGGCTCCGCCAATTGCGGAACCATCTCCGCTGTAACCATATATATACCCCACTTGTACATAGGTTACGCCCTAGCAGAAAAATCAACTAGAGTTACCCCCCCTAGGTTCTAAGTGCCAGTCAGTAAGTTAGGGCATGGACGTGTCACTAGGCACAGCGCTCTTGGCAGAAGTCGCTGAGGCCAAAGCCCTCCGTTACGGAGACATTCCTTCGTCTCGAGTCTGGTCTCTGACAGATAGGCCTGAAGGTAGACTTGCAGGGCAAGCAAGTGTATTGCCCAGCGGGGGCAGGAGTGTGCTAGCGGATGTTGGAGCTGTCCAGAAGCCTTCAGGGCTCCATACTTAGGGAGGCATAGGTAATATATTGAAAAGAGGGTGTGGTGACCATTGAGGGAAGTGGAGGTGATTGCGGAATACAGGAGCTCCAAGGTTAGTGAAGAAGGAGTGGAGGTAGTCTGGAGGGACCGGAGGGAGTGAAGGATGATGGCCATGGATGGATATGACAACTCCAGATTTCAAAAGTGTAAACAAAACAGTTATATTGCTACTGTTAAAACAAGCAATAAAAATAAGAATAAAATAAGAGAAGACCAAGGGACACTTCAGGCACAATCTAAGACCATTGACAAGATTAAATCTTTGAAAATTCACTGAGTAGAAGATTAATTTTAGGTTTAAGACTTCAATTTTAACGATCCTACACAGGATTACACCTAGATAATTGAGAAATAACACTAAGGGAACAGCTCCGCAGGGTTTGATTCACCCATAAGTCATTTTTCAGAGATTTTTAGACTAACCCATAAGGTGGAATTAGCCAAAACACTCGGATTAGTACTAAATTTACAACAAATTTGCTAAGTACACCTCCCCATCCAACTAAAGAACCAGGGAACAGATTGGTAGTGGTCTCGTTAGAACCTCCAACTGTCCTTCCTTCATTCTCTCCTTCAACAGTGTGAAACATGGCATTTGACTCATTGTCAAGCAAACACTTTGAGAAAATTTTCACCATTGTTAGCATTTCAAGGGTTTGGTGTCATAGTATCACCCAAAGCCATATGATATCTGGACTTGGCAGGAAGGCATAGGAAGCAATGCAACAACAAACTGCTCATTTGTAATCAGTGCCAAAGCTTTCTATAAACAGTATAGATGTCTTGATAACAGGATAGGCAAAAAGAGCCAAACCTGCACAGCTTACAGCAAGTAAGGAGTCTGTGGTGAGTCATCAGTCATCCAGAGAGAGAATCTGCAAGGACACATGTAAAAAATCAGCTACATAGGCTCAAACACAACAAGACATACGCACCACAAACTGCATAGTATCACCAACGAGGAGGATCGTCTGATCTACTGTGAGAAAGATCTTATTGTGACGTGAATCCCATATGATTAATAACATTTGCGTGACTGTGCAGGAGCATTCCAAGTGAGTGTCACCATGCAATGTGGATAGAGAGGAATCCCTGAATGGAACCAGAGTCACTCACTCTCAGTAATCCATTTGGCTGTAAGATTGTGGGTTACCGCATTGTGATCAAAGACTACCGTCTTGTAGCTCGATCCAGGTGCGGAAACGGAGCCACCAGAGTAAGTGACATCAGGGGGCAAAGCTGTGTTTGATGTTTATAAGGGGAAATTGAGGGAGTTAGATTGAGTTAGACAATGAAGGCTCCCGGATCGACGTACTTAACTCTGAAGTCCCCAGGACGATGAGATTATTGGCTGCCAGTGTCGCATTGCTCAGACCTGCCAAATATTGTTGGGAAGCTGTAGCATTCTGGAGAATTGCATTTGGAAAGCAAACTCAATGGTAGACAAAGGAGGAAAAGATAACGTACAATATCTTTGAAGCTCACATCTGAAGTGACACCTTCTTGCTGTAATGTAGCTGTGAATGTACTAGCATTCTTCAACTCGCTAACTACCGTACACCTATCGATCAATTCCAGAAGGTGTCAACTCAGATGTGACACAACTGAAGAAAGTGGATGACTCGGAAACCAACCATGGCTGACTACCATTCAGTGCAAGGTATCCGAGGGTCTTAGGTTTACCCTTATCCTTATCCTTGGCAGTTACTTTAATGTTGCCACTCCAGGTTATTGTGTCGCTGGTCCATGACCCTCGAGCAGCTGAAGATCAAACCACATTGATAGTCACATCATACATCTTTGTGCTAAGTGAAATCGCTGAAGATGGCTGCAGACTTACCATCAGTTCGTGAGGCTTCAATATTCCTCGGGGGTAAAGGAGGCAAACCCCTCATGAGTTGCTTCGTGTTTGTATCTCCGTGTGCAGGGTCTCGAAGCTCATGTGCAAGGCGGTGTAACTCCAGCGCTTGGACAGCAAGGACAGAGACAGTGAAGAGAAGTAGGCAAAGAGCAGTGTGCTTGAACATGTTGGAAAACCCCCCACTGCAGCTTGAGAGCAGAAGAAAGGGGACAAGTGACCAAGCAAAGCCTTCATGTGCGATACTTAATCTGGCAGGGTGGAAGAAAGAGAGAATGGAAAAATATTGATCATTGACAATGGTTATCTCATTTGATCCTCAATATCTGTGCTGATGGGCAGGTGTTGACACCAATATCGGTACTCAGCTGGTGGTATGTAGAACCAGTGTGACACAGCAAATTACAGGTGAGGTGCAGTCAATATTCTTCAGCTGTTATCTTCATTGAAAACAAAGGCAGGCATGGATGGAAACCCCTAGGCAGGACTCCAGCCTCTATATGTAGGAAACCGCGGCACCCACAGGCGAACATTGGATAAAATTGACGTAGGAACCATGTACTATATTCCCAGTCCGTCATCACTGCCTCACAATTATCTTCGCTTCCGATCTGTTCCTACCTTATTTCTCGATTGATCTTGTTCACTTATATCACATCATCACCTCACTACATCAGGAAAACCCTGATGAGGTGATTCATTCCATTGTCACCTAAACTCCAATCACTCCAATCAGGTCCCTTGATCTAGATCACACTAATCACGCATTTGATTGAGCTGATTGGGTTTATGCACTGCTGTGGGAAGTAAAGCGTAGTAGTAAAAAACCATTTGTTTGTCCATTTTTTACCATTTACCAATGTTTTCGTGATACTTTGAAGGTGGTAAATTACAGCATATGCGCAGTGGGGTTGAAGGCCGGTTTTAAACTTCGTACCCTCGTAAACCTTTCCCTCCATCTCGTCAAGAAGCTAGTAAGCATAGAAGATCCCGCTCTCCTTCCCCTAAACATTCTAGGATTGAGGATGACACTGTCTGAGCATTATGAGACAAAGTTAAGCAATTGGAGTCTGTAGTGCGTGCCCAGACCAAGTCCCAAGAGGCTGAGTCTAGCTCTAAGCAACGTCACGCTGGGTTCAGAGAGGAAGTGCCCCTTCAGAAGCCCACAGTCACCAAAAAGCCGTGTATTGAAGGCCCCCAGCCCCCCCCCCCCCCCATAGACATAACAGCGGAGTCCCCCCTAAACTGTCCACGTACATGTGGAACATACCCACCTTGATTTCCGTACTTGTTGAAGACAGGAAGGCACCCAAGTATAAACCCGAGAAGCTCCCTTCCGTCCATCAAGGACTATGTCCTCAGCATCTTCCTATCATTGAGACCGACACAGAGTTACAAGCCCTTCTAAGCCAAGCTACCACATGGGTAGACAAGCTTTTGGATGTTAGCTCTACTCTCAAGCATGCACACGAAAGCCACATCGATCTGTTGTTCAAGAGGCTTGCCCAGCAAGACAGCCTAGTGCAGCAACTTCACAAGCATGGACATAGTCCTGAAGTCCTCTGAGGAGACCTCTAAGGAAGTCCTCCATGCCAATGATCTGTTCTTGTAAGAACATAATCAAACCAAGAATGCCGCCAGAGGTATTAGGGCTTTGTTTCTGGCAATGCATGCCAACACCCTAACTGCCAATAAATATTGGTACACCCACCAAGAGATTCTGGCAGGGATTGAGGAGAAGATTAGGGACCGAATCTCTCTCCCTGATCACCGATATGCCACTTTTATTGATGCCAAGCAAGCTATGTTAGATGCATGGCACACTATCATCCCCAAGCCAAGAGGATATCACATCAGAAATCGCACTCTCTCTGACAAGCACATGGAGGAATGCGCTCAAAACCTCCAGAAGATAGCTGAAGCGTTGAAGTCTGCAGGTGCAGACCTAGTCCCACCCGGTGACCCAGTTCACAAGGGGAGGAAGCCCCGTACCCCTCCTAGTAACCAACCTGACGCTGACAGGAGCTCTTCCAGAGACTCCAACCAGAGCACAGCTCAAGTCAGCAACACTGTGACTACGATGTCTCAGCTCACCTGACTTATCGAAGACAGAAGTCACCAACAGGGAAACCTCTAATGTCATGGACAAGGATCCCAACCCGAAGCCTATAAGCACCCATACCCACAAGTTAACTAGAGGCAAGGGTAAAGCAGACTGCATTATCACTGAGGACACAATGTCCGATGCGACTGCAGACTTAGGTGGTCATGAGTAGATGATGCCACCACTCCCAATCAACAACCTGCATGCTCATGTATGCTGAGGTTGATTGTACCTGTCTGTATTTATCATCGGTGCTGGACACCCAAGTCACACTTAACAAAGTTTTGCACCTTTATTTATCATTGACCTCCGTCACACAAGGCAGTTGGGCACTTACCACCCTTATTATGGAGCAGTCAACTAGCCAGTAGTAGAGACAGCATCCATGTCAGAGAGAAGCCAACATACCGTGGACTTCACCTCTTACCATGCCATGATGCACTCCCTTACTACTGGGGTACCAAGGACCTTATTTCCACATCACCCCACGAATTCCCTTAATTTACTCGCATTGTTGTGCAGAGTTCACTAGCAAATTTGCTGAAAAGTGCGGTTTTGGCTTAAAATGTCTACAAGTCCAGCAACTCCTTAATAGTTGTGCATAAACAGGCTCACACATTTAAGAATCCTGCACAATGCCAACAACTGAGAATGACGCTTCGGCGTAATAATAAACATTGTGGGGATTAATTATACCTTCCCAACGAGCTCTTGAACGCCGGGAATGGCGAAGACCTCAGGGAGGTAGACGAGGAAAAGTGAGATATAATAAACGTTGAACTTAAAAGTCGACGCAAGCCCCTTCTAGAGACGGCCGAGACGTGTTATTGGGCTAGTTTGATAGAGGAATAACAGCTCCACTCACTCACAAAGTTTGAAAGGAAACAATGCATCCGTTCAGGAGATATTCGCAAATTCCTGGGTTGGGCAGGAGTAGCCAAAAGTGTAGAGAGGCTCTATCTCCCCCATTTTTTCATCAATTCGGACAATATTTGTGGCTTTGGGAAGCTGTAATTAAGGAGAACGCAACGTAGGAGTTGCTAGAGGAAATCGTGAGGGACCACGATTAAAGAGTAAGGCCTGTATGTAGGAGGGCACAGCAAGTACTACACAAATGAGACCAGAATCGCATTTCTCAAGGCTCCAATGAGCGCCCTCAAGCCGCTGACACATTCCCAACGCCCACAGCACATTCTCACATTTTTCCCAATTTTCTTCATGCTTTTCTCAAGACTCATGTTGCCACTTCCCAAATTTCATTGTTATTCACCATTTCCCCCATATCTCCATCAATTTTCCACCAAATCACATGATTTTGGGCTTGAAGGACAGCTACGGATCAGGAAAAGAGTATGGAATGACGGGACGGGAGTTAGGACGACAGATAAGAGGTGGAGAAGCGATATTGATGGTTGATATTGACTTCATGGGCTCATTTATTCATTTTATTGTCACCTTGTGTCCACTTTTTGTGCCTTATTGTTCTTTAGCTGAGCTGCTAACATTCCTCCTGTTCCCATCGCCACCATCTACCGTTTATTTTTGTTCTGATTTATCCTTTTTTATACCCAGTTTGCATTGTACTTACTGTTACAAGGATGGGGAGAATTCCTCCCTTCTCGACCCGTTCTTATAGTGGGATGGCAATTGTTGTATCTAGTTTGTACCATAATGGGATGTGTAATTGATGAGTGTTCCCAGTTTTGCATGAGAGCAGACGATTGAATTCCCATTGATTGTAGTTCATGATGGAGTGAGCTATTAAGGGATTGATTGTGTGTAGTCAGAGACAACAGGATGGATGGGTCAGCCACAGGTACTTGGCACTCCTCAGTGGAGCATACTGTGTGTGCGGTTGTGACTCGTAAGATGTGTGAAGATTCTGTATCATTGCTATCGGTTACTTGGCATTCGCAGTGTGAATGTACTGGTAGTGGGTTGTTAACATGAGTGTACAGTGAGGAATGACTAGTGGGGCTTTCGGTGACTTGGTGTTCCCAAAGAGATTGTACTGTTGGCAAGGAGGTACGATGACTGATGAGGGAGGGACCAGATGATGGATGGGCAGCTACTTGGCACTCATGTAGCGAGCATGCCAGCATCATGGGAGTATGGGCCTCAGAGTATTCACAATCTCTAAGATCGTAGTATGATGTCATCTGTCGGGCACTGGAGGGAGAGCTGAGTGATGATGTCCTGTAGGATACAGGTTCCATAGGATGATACACAAGTCGAGAGAGAGTCTTTGACTTGCGACTTCGAGTTCTCACAGCAAGAACCATCAGAGGACTTGATATAGCCAGACATATAGGACATGTTGAGAGTTGTACAGGCACACAGGTTCAGTTGAGTCACAAGAGGGGGTTGTTACAAGGGACGGTGCACAAGACAGTTGTAGAGTGTTGTAGTAGTTAGTGGGAACTGCCTTTGGTGGTTTCTGTACATGATGCATGACTAACTACAAATGGAAAGGTCATGGGAAATCCTGTGAAATCCAAATAACCTTGGCCAGCACCAAAACCCTGATGGGGAAAGCTTTGCATGAGGGGGGGGGAATGGAGTAGAATGGGTGAGGATAGTAGGGTATCGGGATAGAGAGTGAAAGAGAGAGAAAGAGCGATGAGAAGGGGAGGTCTATGACCATGCGATGGATATGGTTGTTGGAGACTCTATATCTGTAACACTTACAGTTGTTGGACCCCTCTTCTGTGCTACAAAGACTGTGGTGTTGAGTAATCCTTCCAAACTTTAAAGAAGCTCTGTTTGACTCCCTGATGACTGTCCAAGAATGAGTACAGTGATTAAGAGAATTTATTAGTATAGTGCTCTTGCACCAGGACCATGTGTGGCCTTACCAGTAGTGAGATTTTCTTTGCCCCTTACATTTCTGGTGTGTCAGGGACAGCTCCAAAAGTGGCGAGGTTCTGGCATGAGGGACTTGATGGGACAGGTGTTGGCTATGCATAGCAGCGGTCCCATCATGGGGTGAGCATCCCTGACCACTTAGTCTGAAGTGGGAAGTTGAGAAGAAGGCTGCTTCTTCTGTTCCCACCCCAGGTGCTATTATATACATGTGGTTAGGGTCACGTGGGGGGAGCCACATCATCTTTGCACACAGCCAGATCTCTCTGGGTGTCTCTGTGGGAGATCCTGGAGGTGTGCTGCTCTGTAGGTGGTAATGTGCATAGCAGGTGTGGCGGTTGGGGGAGCGGCATTAGGTGTGTAATGATACATAGAGAAAAGGGAAGTTGACCATGGAACACAAATAGAGAGAAAGAAGAAAAGGGAGAGGAGGAATGAGGAGTGATAGTGGGGGGAGTGGAGTAGGGCAGGGCGGTGCAGGGTTAGGTGGGGTGTGCCCTGACATCACCCCCTGCTTAAGCCGCTTCACCTTGAAGCAGCCGGGCAGTTTCCCTTTTCTCTCCCTGGGGTGTGGGGGTGTGTTCAATGGAACTCCTCAACTAGGTCAGAGGCATGGGTCAGGTGGTTGCATGTGAGCCATTGATTTTCCGAGTGCAGCCAGCCTGTATACTTTACCAGGTACTGCAGTTTTCGGCATAGCCACTTAGAGTCCAGGATTTTCTTGACCTCATACTCTTCTTCTCCTATGAGGTCTGGGCCTGGGTGGGGGTCAGCCAGTTGTTCCGTGATTTTGTCAGGGTGGTGTGGTCTGATGTTTGTCACAGATACTACTGGGTGGATCCCTCTTTGTCAGGTGGTGAGCCAGAGTTTGACAGTGGTGGGGGAGATGACTTTAACAATCATGAAGGGGCCAGTCCATTTATGGTCCAGCTTCTTGGTTGGGCAGTCAGTAGTGTAATTCTGGGTGCTGAGCCAGACCCAGTCGCCTTCTTGGTATGTGGGGGCTGCCTTGTGGTTTCGGTCGTAGTAGCAGGCCATCTCGTCCGCTGTGTGCTCTAGTGCTCCCTTCACCTCTTCCTGCATCTTCATCATCCTCGATGAGAAGGCGTCAGCGGCTTCTACCTCAGATGTGCATGTGGGCTCCATCCCTGGCCAGTATTGAGCTCAAAGGGGGTTCGGTGGGTGGAAGTGTGGACATGGTTATTATAGGTGAACTCCACTAGTGGGAGCCAGTCTGCCCAGTCGTCTTGGCAGTGGTAGGCGTCAAGGGGGTGAGTTTGATGCTGAGGAGCATCAGCAAACTTGGATGTGGAGGCCTGAGAGCTCATAGAGCTCTCAGAGCTCTCAGAGCTGCAGTACTTTGAAATTGCAGGTCCCCTTGTCTGAGAGCTCATAGAGCTATATTTGCACACAGGGGACTATTATCTGTATGAGCTCCCTGAGTGTTTAATTTACCCGATATGGAAATTAAAATTTAAAAGCATTGACTATGGCATCATGTGACTAGCCATAGCCAAGTCCCTACCATACAAGGGACTGAACAAACTCAGCTTAACTTTCAGCACCAATGCAGCACCACACACCAAGGGTATGTAGCCAAATCAATATATAGACCAAATTTAGGGATATAAAAGTTCATCTGAAATTACTTAGGGAAAATGTGGGAAAATGAGTGGGGAAATGAGTGGGGAAATGGGGGGGATGAGGGAGAAAATGAGGGGGAATTGGGAGGGGGAATGAGGGGAAAATTAAAGGGGGGAAATGAGGGGGAATGAGGGGGAAAATGAGGGGAAAATGGAGGGGGGAATGGGGTGACATTTGGAGGGGGCAATGAGGGGAAAATTGAAGGGGGGGATGGGGGAATTGAGGAGGGAATGAGGGGGGGAATGGGGGGAAACTTGGAGGGGGAATGAGGGGGAAATGAGGAGAAAATTGAGGAGAAATTGCGGGGGACAATTGAAGGGGGGATGGAGGGGAATTGAGGAGGGAATTGAGGGGGGGGAATGAGGGGGAAAATGAGGGGAAAATTGAGGGGGGGAATGGGGTGAAATTTGGAGGGGGAATGAGGGGAAAATTGAGGAGGGAATTGGGGGGGAATGAGGGGGAAAATGAGGGGGAAAATGAGGGGGAAAATGAGGGAGGAAATGGGGGGAATGAGGGGGAAAATGAGGGAGGAAATGGGGGGGAATGAGGGGGAAAATGAGGGGGAAAATGAGGGAGGAAATGGGGGGTAATTGAGGGGGGAAATGAGGGGGGGAACAGGGTGAAATTTGGATGAGGGGGAAATGAGGAGAAATTCAAGGAGGAATTGGGGGGGGGGGGGGAATGAGGGGAAAATTGAAGGGGGGGATGGGGGGGGAATTGCAGAGGGATGAAGGGGGGGATGAAGGGGAAATGGAGGAAAATGAGAGGGAACTGGGGGGTTTCTAAAAACTTGAAAAAAAGTCAGGGAGAGATGTTTCAGGAAATTAGGAATAATTGGAAAAAAAAATTAATTCACTTTTTTGATAATTGTCATATCTGTGCATACCCGATCCCAACCCGACTCCTGGA